CTCATCAATGACAAGATCTATATCATAAGTCTCTACCATAACACATCATTAGAGCAAGAGAAATTTATTCCCTAAAGAGTAGGCTATTCTGAGGAGATAAAGAAATTTTCATGAATTATACTGGTTTGAAACATGCTAATTTCAGTTATACTATCTGAAGCAGAGAGCTTCATTTATCTACAGGTAAAGTATGGGAAGAGATGACCCTCTCCAACTGAAGATGGGAAAAATGTCTTCAGCTCTCCAAGAAATGAAGAAGCATACCTCCATGGGGTACTAAAACCTGACTTTATAAGATAAACATATAATACATGCTTTCACACTAGCCATTTCACTGAATCCTCAAAATCAGACCAGGAAGCAGATCATGTTAATCCCTGTTATGAGTCAGGAAAACAAATCTCAGACAACTACAGTTATTTATCTAAAGGCATGCGCTTCTTGGGGTCAGAAGCAAAATACAAACCTTGGACTTAGGGCTAAAAACATAGAATGCTGTATCCAATTCCCACTGAAAATAGTAAACTAAACATGAAAAAGCACTTAAATTTATATAGATGAAATCTAAATACAACTATTCTGAAATGCTTTTGTTTACACATAAATAAGGGAACAGTGGGTTAGGTCTTCAGACAGGCAGAGACATTAACCACAACATGAGAGACTTGTTTTCTCCATTGTCTAAGTGCCATTGGACCTCAGACAAACCCCATATTTCTTGGAAACACATATCCCTCTGAGAGCCAGGGAAGGCGTGTGGTCCAGTAAATGCAATTAGCAGTCTCGCTGTGTGTTTCCTTGTCTGTTGTCTCTCAGAGTACAGGCATCAGAATGCTCACATTTTCAAAACACACTCCTCCATATGACCAAAGTCGCCAGCAGATTTTAAATATGTCTGAGATAAATACCTAGGGAATCTTTGAATACATGTAAATATTTTTTAGTATCTCATATGAACACAATGCTACTCTAGCACAAAAGGATATAGGAATGAGAGGGAGATGTAGAGATTACTAAAGATGCAGGAAAGACCCCGACATTGTATGACTGAATAAGTTATTGAGTCTCCTTTATAATACAGAATTCATAATGATAGTATGATGCATAAATTAACACCTACAGCCCTGCCAATCTTATAGTTCCAGGACTCTGTATACAAATTCCTACTCAGAATTTATTCTCAGTTGTTTTTTAGGGACCCTCAAGCCAACATGATCAAAGGTGAACTTATGACTATTTCCTCCAGTTCTGAACCTTTGCCAGTGTTTCTTTCTTTTTGAATTATTTTTTGTCTTCATTTTATTTGAAAGACAGAGAGAAAGGAAGAAAGTGAAAGAACTCCCATTAGCTTGTGTACTCCCCAAATATCAGGGGCTTGGCCAGGCCAAAGCAAAGAATTAAGAACACAATCTGAATCTCCCTCTCACATGGGTGAAATGGGAACCAAGTACTTGAACTCTTAGCTGTTTCCTTTCAGGATACAAATGACCATGATGCTGGAATTGAAAGTGCAACTAGGACTTTAACCAAGAACTCCCATTTTGGATATAAGAATCCAAGTGGTAATTTATCCACTATGCCAAACACCTGCCTTGCTAGTGTTTTATCTTTGTAAAAACTTCACAAAAATTCTACTCCAACATTTTCTTCAAGCTGAAGGTCTTAAGCACTAATATAGAAGACACATTAACCATACCACCTCAGGACTGGCAATATGGCATAGTATTAAAATCACCACCTGCAATGCTAGCATCCCATATGGGCACTGGTTTGTGTCTCAGCGCCCTGTTAATGGCCTGGAAAAAGCATCAAAAGATGGCCCATGTGCTTGGGCCCCTGCCACGCACTTGGGAGAAGCTCCTGGATCCTGGCTTTAGTCTGACCCAGTCATTTAGGGGAGTGAATCAGCAGATGGAAGACCTTTCTCTGTGTTTCTCCCTATCTCTGAAACTCTAACTTTAAATAAATAAATAAATATTTTTTTAAAATATACAAATATTTTGTTTCTTTATCTGTTTAAATATTTTACTCATTTAAATGTTTCTTTTGTTGATTTCTTTTTTAGTTTTCCTTATATATTCTGGATGCAAGTATTTTACCAGAGATGTTATATGCAAATATTTTCTCCCATGCTATAGATGACTTTAATTTTCTTAATATTCTGTTTAAAATATTAGGAGCTTTAAATTTTGATATAATCACAGTTGTTAATTTACTCCCTTAATGACTTTGATTATATTATGAAATACAAGAAATTTTGGCTTAACCTTAAAATTTTCTTTTATATTTTCTCATAAATGCCTATGCTTTTAGTTTTTACATTTAGATCCACAATCTATTTAAATGAATTTCATAAGGTGTATATTGTAATTTAAAAAAATACTGATATCATATTTTTAATCATCAATGACTAAAAATATTGCTTTCTCCACTGAATTTCTTTTGATTCCTTATTAAAAATTACCTGGCCATATATGCAAATATCTATTTCTGGAATCAATATTCTGGTGCATTGGTTTATTTCTGCACATTTGCACATGCACAAGACTGTCTTTGACATTATATCTTTATAATAAAATTTGAAACCAGAATAAAAAATACCACCTTTCATTTCTATGAACTTCAAACCAATGACAACTTCGTGGCCGTTAGCTACCAATAGCAAGGTGAGGTACAAATGCCTTTTTAGTGCTTTTTTTACTTAACTCCCTGACCTACCAACAAATAGGTATAATATCTGGTCTTCAAAGTGTTTCTTGGACCCTGCTTAGCACAGTTGCCATGTCATACTAAATATCACTAAATGGCCTGATTTTGAGCAGTAACACTTCGTAAGTGCAATTGCATCAGAGAAGAGAACCAAGCATGTCACAGAATTTCTTTTTCTCTGCAGGATAGCATTGATCATAAATGATGCCTGGGAAAGAAAACAAATTCCTTGGAATGGTTGGGCCAATCACAGAAGTGACTCCAAGTAAAGAAGGATCTCCTTGGAAGTCGGCTTCCATAGCCTTGGCAACTCATGACAAGAGCCTCGGGTGACTACTGACACCATAAACAAGAGTGTCCAATTGTTAAGTCAACAACAGGAGTCACTGTGTACTTACTTCTCATGTGGGATCTATCCTTAGTGTGTTGTCCAATGTGAAGTAATGCTATAACTAGTACTGAAACAGTATTTTACACTTCGTGTTTCTGTGTAGGTGCAAACTGATGAAATCTTTACTTAATATATACTAAATCGATCTTCTGTATATAAAGGTAATTGAAAATGAATCTTGATATGAATGGAATGGGAGAGGGAGCGGGAGATGAGAGGGGTGTGAGTGGGAGGGAAATTATGGGGGGGCGAAGCCATTGTAATCCATAAACTGTACTTTGGAAATTTATATTTACTAAATAAAAAATTTCATTACGTGAAGATAATTATAAGGAAAAAAATGAAGGATCTCTTGATATTTAACCAATGGTGTTTAACCATTCCAATAAATAGGAATGAGATTGGGTTTGGTAAATATTTAATTTGTACTTCTAAAAGGGGTAGAACTAGTTATGTTGGATTGATAGTCCTTAGAGACTTCTACCATAGAACTACAAGCTCTTTGAGGAATGGAACAAGAACTAAATTATGTATGTTATCCTTACACAGCCTAACATGGCAAGTGTTCAGAAAATGTATATGAGAATAATTCAGGAAGTTTGGGGAACAATATAATTGAAATCTGTACAAATTTCCATGAGCATTTTGAAGATCTCTGGTGCTGAATCACTTTATATACTAAATTTCCTGTGGATCAACATGAATTTTCCATTTTTTTCCACTTCTCTTAAAAAAGTAAGAGATATTTATTGACTTGGGGGTCTAGTGTTGAAGTCCATGCTTTCAGTAATTAAATTTCAATTTGTACCTTTTATTAAACAGCAAATTAGAGTGGATCATGGCAGATAGCTTACCAAGTGTGACTGTGGTCCATCTGTATTGACAGAGAGCACCGTTTCTTAAGATGCACATGGCAGCATTAAGATGAGAAGAGAAAGGGAAGCCAGGAGCTGAACTCCATAGAAATCTTTCCACCCCTGTTAGTGCTCAAATTCCATAATATGTGTGGAAGGGTCAAAGCCACAACACGTGGGAAGGTGGTTGCACAGACAGTGTTTAGGGCTGAATTGAGGTGGGGGTGTCTCTTGCATGGTGCTGGAATCAATTTTGTCTTGTTCTCCCATGTTTTCAGTGCTTGGGCACCTGTTTTGCATTTGATTTTTCATCATAAGAATCCCACAGGGTCACATACCACACAGAAGTACAAGTATGGTTGTTCTGTGGGTTGACTTTCTTCTAGTAAAATCTAAATGAATGTAAAATAGATGTTGGGGGAAAATCATAACAGGCATGACTGCCTGAGATATTTAGTCTCTTCACGGATAATACATTCCTACTACAAAAAGTTTCCAGGGGCTAGAAAGTGTTAGGGGGTGAAAACAGAATCCTATTAGTAGGGACCTTCTGTATATATATTTTTCCCAGAATATTTGGGTCTCTTTAGACACTGCACCTATCTCTATATCATAAATATAGTACCAGCTAATGTATGTTGTTGGTGGCTTCTTCCACCACAACATTCTTCCTTAACCTTAACCACTTGCTATTTTTTGTAACTCATATCTCACACTCTTCTGGCCTACAGTGCTATAGTTAATGACTTGACTCTTTATGTTTCTAGTCTTACATCAACTCAATTTTTCCTTACATTGTCATTTTGCGATCAAAAACCCTAGTGACACCAAATATGGTGCTGCTGAGTGGAAAAAGACAAGAGACAGAGATATAGACAAAGACAAAGATGTAGAGAGCTCCTGAGAAGAATATTTTGAGTGATAAATAGATTTGGGAAAGAAAAGAAAAGTTAAGACACAATTGTAGGAAATATAAGTTGATTTTAAAAGATAAAGAAAGGATGGAGACAGAATAAAATTATGGAAATTGGACTTGAAAGAGCTAGAATGTAATGGAGAGGGAAAAATGTTAAAAGATTTTTTTCTTTATTCTACAAATTTTAAAGAATGACTATCATTTTTCAATATATACTGCATGTGGAAATTATATTCCCCATAGATACTATAAGTAAGGTATTATCTCTATGGCACAGGTAAATAAATACTATGATTTTATACAGTTTGAGTTTCTCCCTCAAGGATTCATGTGTTAGAAGCTTAGTCTTCAGTGTGGTGATGTTAAAAGGTGGTGGGGCCTTGAGAGATGGGGACTAATAGGAGGACATTAGGTCGAAGGGGTTACCACTTTCAGGAGAGATTAACTTAGTTCCCATGGGACCTGTTAGTTCTTATGAGGGTTGGTCTAAAGGAGTGAGCCTGACCATTCCCACTCTCTCACCATAGGCTCTCACCACTGTGCAGACACTCCCACCATGGTTCACCCACCATGGGGTCCTCATTAAAGCTGTGATATGCTGTTTGGACTTATAACCTCCAAAACTGACTTAAAAGAACCTCTTTCAAACTGGCCTCGTATATTTTATTATAGTGAGAGAAAATGGACTGATACATTAAATTTTGACTCAAGAGACACCAACTCAAGGACATTGAATGAGTAATGATAAAACAAGCAGTGTAACCCAGTCCTGTCTGTCTTGCAATCACACCGGTAGTTCTTGTTGCCCCTGTCCCAGAGCCCATATTTGTAGACCAAACAAAACTTAAACAGAAAAAATACATGATAGAGGTAGCAAAGGAAAAACTACCCAAGCTTAGGTGTTCATATACTAAGCTGATGGGGCAAGGACAGGACTGCTGTTGCTGAGCACAGTGCTAGCTAGCATCTACATGATGGCTTCCGAACTTTCCATGGCCAAGTTCCCTTGACTGGCACAATCTCACTGGTCAGTCAGGGCAGAATCTATGTGAAAATTAGAAAGCTTTGGTATGCCAGAGGCAGAAAGACCTCAGATTGGACCATCCAGATGGATGCCCTACAGTTTCCAAAGTGGCTCATGGTGTGGTATAAGCAGTACTGATGCTAAGCCAAGTATGAATCTTGCTCACTCATCAGCCACCTCCACAACTATTGAAGCTCTCAGACCATCAGCTTTTTTATTAGTGAAAAATCAAACTATATCTTTTTTAGAGTTATATAATGATTATATAAAATACTGGATGAATTGTTCCAATACAGTGTTTCACATAAACTAGCAACTTTGAATTCTGACACTTTCTTTATTTGAATATTTGAATCTGTATTTGAATCTCTTCTTTTTGTGATTCATACAACTCCACCATCAAAGCATGTTAGCACCCTGGTTATAGTTCCTTCCCTCATTTCACCTGAATATAAATATATGACAATATTTCAAAAAGCTAGAACTAAAATACAATGCCTATTCTCTATTTGTTTATTTAGGAACCATCATTTTTAGCATCTACTATAATAGCAAAACAAATTTTCTTGTGACAGAGCAACTCATAAAACTCTTCTACTTCCATCATAGAATCTCTTTTACCGAAGATCTGAAATTGAGCAAACAAATTATTGCCATTTTTTTACTTATGTTGGAAAACAGCTTAGAGAGTATGTGATGGGTTCCAGTTACATAGCAAGTTAAAGCTCAGGCTGGCTTAAGAGAATAAAGCCAAGTAATATACAGATGGCTTGGACAAGTTACATGCCTTCCTTAGAGCTCATTTCCTCATCATTTTATGAAAATGTGAGTTGGTTATGTCCAGGACTAGTTCTTCCTCTGATATTCCTGGATTCTGCTTCAATTCCATGTGATGGTTACCCAGCAAAACTTTAGCACTCTACACACAATACCTCCACATGTTTTGATTTCAACCTGCCTCTTTTCCACATCCATGGAAGTTTTTCCAGCCGAGCTCTCATTCATTCAGTCAAAATGTGATGAGTATGTGTCAATTACAGTAAATTCATACTTTCCAGGAGTTCATAGTCCAATGTAGTCCAACGTGGAGACACAGAAAGGAATAGATAGTTGAAATATACTATCAATACTATCAGCTGCAAATACTAGAAAAACAAATCCTAATCAAAAACATGACTTGCAGCTGTTATTATCTCAAACAGCAAATTGAAGGTAAGACTTCTTCAAGAATGGTTTATACAGTGGCAGTATAAAATCTCAGCTTCTTTCCATTGCAAGGATATTGGGGTTCTAATAAGCTTACACTTTTCATATATACAAGACTGCTGTCCAAGTTCCAAGAATCCACATGTAGTACAAGAAAGGAAGAAGAGGAAGATGAGGAAATAATGACCTGTCTTCTTGTATGTCTCCTTATCGGCAAGGGAACTTTTCCCAGATGCCCTCAAGAGAGGTATCCTCTTAGTCCATTAGTCATGCTTGTGCAATTTACCCATCCATAAACCAGTGACTGGAAACAGGAATGGAGTTGCCATGAATAGATGCTCATGATTTATTCCTAGAGTTAGGACAGGGTTGCTTCTGGATCCCATGGGAAAGAGGTAGGCAGCTAAACAAAACTAGGCTCTTACTTTAAGGAGAAAAAAGGTAATGGCTTCTGGGTGAATAACCAACAGTGACTGCAGCACACGATTCACCACTTCACAGAATATAACATAAGAAAGCCCAAGATTCATAGGACAGACTCCAAAGGCCACCTACATGAGCTGTGCTGAAAATAGAAAGGCATAGTTTCTAAATGCTAGACTTTCATATGGGATTTGGGGCAGAACGTGACTGCTTTGGGGTGAAGCAGTGATATTTACAGACTCTCTCCTGTGCCTCCAGCATCAGCTGACTGTAGATGGATATTGCTAGCCCCTTGCAGCTGTGTCCACACTAGAGAACAGGGCCAGGGGCAAGAAAAGCCACCCTAAGGGAGTTGGGGCCCCTGAAGGGACAAGCAAAGGTCAACTCTCTAACCATGAAACCAGAGTCAGGATTTAATGTGCTGTGATTTAAGTGGTGAAAATTTTGTAAACAGACAGCCGTGAGTTTAAATCCAAGCCCTGCTATTTGCTAGAAAAAGTGTGTAAATGCTTTGGCTCCAATTTCCTTATGTGTAAAAGTGGAATGTCTGCTTTGCTGGTAGAGATTAAATATAATGTGTGCATTGCAATAACAGAGAGCCAAGCACACCATAATAAATAGTATCTATTGTTATTACAAGGAGAAAATGCAAGTCAAAATGGATCAGCGATGAACAGTGAAGGGAATGAATAAACCCTGTAAGCCATAAAGTCAGAGCTCAAAATTAAACATCAAATATTATTTTCATAGCTGTTTATAATGTGCAAAACCCCATGCTCACCCATTATCTCATTGGTTTTTCACAATCATAGTATTATTAGGAATCTCCCATTTTTACAGATCCAGCTGAGATTTTGGTAAGATCACACTGCAAGTACACAGGAGGGCTGGTGTCACTCTCAGGCTCCATAGGCAGCTAACACTGCCACGGCAAGCTAATTCTGTCCTTGCCATGGTCTGCACAAGCTAGCCAGAAGCACAGCAGCAGGCAGTAGGGAAGGGGCTGCAGGCAGCTTCAGGGATGCCACCAGCATCTACTGCTTCTGGAAATCCAAGGTTCGCAAAAGACCATTTATTTATTTATTAAGCCAATATTTGAATGAATGCTCACAAGTTGGTTCTAGGCACTGAGGAAACTGTGATCAATAAGATCCAATAAATCCAGCCCTGGCTCTTAGAAAACGTCAGTCTAGTGGGAAACACTGCCAAGTAATTAAACGATTTCAGTAACGTGTAGAGCACAGGAATGCACAGAGACCAGTCTTAGCCTGAGGTGTCTGAGAGACTCCCACAGGTGATGTTGAGTCTGGAAGAGCGGAAGGATTGATGCTCCAGGGAGAGATGCATCTAGGTAGAGAAGAAAAATGAGAGTGGAGTTTAATCTGAATTTCTGATAAACACGGACTACTTTTTAACTAAGTATATCCCAAAGATTGTATAGCACATAGTCCCTTAACAATGTATTTGTTATTTATCTGAATTTTGTATTTAATTTGGGCAACACAATACTAGAGGGGAGAGCAAACAGGACACAATTAGCAAACTGAAAGTAGTTTCTCAGGGCTGCAAAGTTAAACACAAAACAAAGTAGCCAGAAATTCATTTTCTCAGGGAACTCAGGCTTCATGAGAAATTTGACTACAGGTTAAAAAGTCAGAAACAGTGGTTCTATAAGATCAGCCCATTGTTAAATCACTTAGTCTACATTTCCTTAAAGACTTCCCATCAAAGAAGTGTTTCTCACCTACACCTGCCGGAGAATCTCCAGGAGGAACCATTAAACCAGAATGCTGAGCTCAACCCTGCCACACCAGGGAGTGTTTGATTCAATATGTCTGAGGGAAGGTGTGATCATTTGCATTCTGGCCAGTTTCTAGGTGATGCTAATGTTAAAACTTCAGAATCACACTTTGAAAACTACTAGCCCATAGAATGGATCCCAGAAAAACTTCTATCAATCCTGTCCAATGTAATCACCCACCATTCAGGTTCAGATGCATGGAGGTGACTGACATAGAAGATGCAAGCTGCCTTGTGGAAGTAAAGCCAATTTCTCACTTCTGTCCAACTCTTTGTGACATACATCCCAATTACATATGCTCATATTTCTTTAACATAAATACTTGCCCATACTACACAAATTTAAGTCACAAAAATAAGTTTATAAATATATGCATAAAAGCTCTGGGTTCTTCCCACAAGCCAGTGGTTTGCCTTGTACTACCAGGTTAGGGACCACTGAACTGACCAAGTGCTACCCAAAGTATGGTCCACAAACCTGTAGCAACAGCATCACCTGGGATATTGCTGAAGGTTCAAGTTCACGGCCCCACCCCAAACCCACTGAATTAGTCTCTGGTGCCTAAACAATCAGTGTTTTAGCAATCTACATGATTCTATGGACAATGAACTTTGAGAACTGATGATGGTTAAATCCACAGGGCAAAGTAGGCTTGGCTCTGAGATGAGGATAGTTGGTACAGAAGCACAATCATGTGATAAAGCTGAGCCAAGGTCAAGTTCTTGAGCTCTGAGATACTGGAATTAACTGTTTTTTTCTTAAATAAACTATTTTGAACCAATGATGATCACATTATTGTTCAGAAATCTTGTGTTGCTATGATGCTGTATTGATATTACACTGTCAAAGAAAGTTATGAGTTTCAAGAAATTTTACCTGGCTAAGGGGATCAATGATCCAGTTTTCCCAGGGCTGTGAGTAACCACAGGACACAGGACCTAACCCAAAAAAGTCAAAGAAGTAAGAATGAATTGATAACCTTATCTGAATTCCATTGTGACAACATGTGATGTCTTTAGGAAATCACTTTCTTTCTCTACTTCCAACAATTATATAACCTCTCTATAAGGTGCGGGATGGACATGGGAATAGTACTCTTAAATTAGCAACCTGATTCTGGCTGTCATTTAATAGCAATGGGACATGTAGCAAGTCAGTTAGTATCTGTGAATTTCTCTTCATCATCCAGAAAATGAGGACAAAAATCTGTCTCTCACATGCCCAAGATCATAATCAAGGCTGAAACAATTGGTGATATGAAAGCATTTCATGGGGGAGACTGGCAAGATGGCTCAACGTAAGTACCAACAGTGCTCACCTCCTTATCCACAAAGAACATGAAAAATAGATGCCTTTTTAGTGAGTGACACTAGAACCCAGCAAGAGAACCCTGTAAGACACAGAAACCTGAGATAGTGACATAGACAGTAGAATATAGTACATAGAGAACAATGATCTCAGTTCCTTGGCTAGAAGAGTGCTCCCTATAACAACAGGTCAAAGAGTGAATGGGAGGGGCCAGCACTGTGGCGCAGCGGGTTAATGCCTTGGCCACATCCTATATGGGTGCCAGCATCCTATTTGGGTGCCAGTTCTAGTCCCAGTTCTAGTTCCCTCTTCTGATCTAGCTCTCTGCTATGGCTTGGGAAAGCAGTAGAAGATGGTCCAAGTCCTTGGACCCCTGCACCCACATAGGAGACCTGGAAGAAGCTCCTGGCTCCTGGCTTCAGATTGGCGCAGCTCCAGCTGTTGTAGCCACCTGGGGAGTGAACCAGCAGACAGAAGACCTCTCTCTCTCTGCTTCTCCTCTCTCTGTGTAACTCTGACTTTCAAATAAATAAATAAATCTTTTTTAAAAAAGTGAATGGGAGTGTCCCAGTGGAACCTATTGACAAAGATGTGACAGGAGAGATACTCCAGTCACAGTGTCAGAGATAAGGTAGAGGAACTTCCTGGATTGTTTCCTATACCTTCATTTCAGAAAAGCTTCTTGCATTGTCTCCTCCCAACTCAGGCTGCTGCTGTATGGGATGAGTTAAGGACAGAGCCACACTGCAAGTCCACCATTGATCCTTGCTGTGGCTAGGCCTGCGGGTGCAAATTCCAGACTACAGGCTATCCTGAGACATAGATGTGGTTGTCTGAACTACTGCTGGGTCCAAAAGCATATGATCCATGCTACATGCTCCTCAAGGCTGCTTCTGTGGCTAATCCACTCTCCTCTACACAACCCTCCACCACCAGCTACCATTACCACCCCACCCACCGCCCATGCTTAAATTGACTGGACCACACATACTCTACACCTGCCACCAACACTGCTGAGAAAAATTCACCACACATTTCTGGTACCACCACCCCAGCTGCCAGAATGGCCACATAGTGGACCCATCTCAACTTCTGTGTGTACCACACCCACATGGATCACTAAAGTACCTGGCTTCCCTTCCCTAGTGTGGCCCTTAGAGTCAGAAAGGCTCCCTACCCCTCCACTTCCTGCACCGTGCTCAAGGAAATAGCTGAAAGCCAAAGAAGCTACAAGGAGACTACATGAAGGCATCCAACTGAAAACAAAGCCAATAGAGCTTTACCAAACTAACATTCTAAGACATATTCAGAAGACCACTTCCTATGAAAGCTATCCTATAAAAGTCGGAGAGAAAACAAAACTACTGATGCATAAATCTCGATATAGAGATACAAAATATATGAAAAATAGGATAACATAATGCCTTCAAAGACACATGCATTATAAAATACTCTAGAGATACAAGAGCACTTAAAATTTGTGGAAAATGAAATTAAAAATATGAGTTTACAAGGAGGGCATTTGTCCTCATGGCTAAGGTACCTGTTAAGATGCCCATGTGCCATATCAGAGTGCTCAGTTAAATAGCAGCCTCTGGCACCTGACTCGAGCTTCCTGTGAATGCAAACTCTGAGAAATCTGAAGTGATAGTTCAACTAATTGGGTTCCTGTCATCCTCTTAGGAGACCTGGATAGAATTCTTAGCTCCCAGTTTTGGTCTAGTCCAGCCCTGGCTGATGTGGGTATTTGGACAATGAATCAGTGGATGAGTTTCTCTCTCTCTCTCTCTCTCTCTCTCTCACCCTCTTTTGCCTTCTTCTTTCTCAACAATAACAAAAAAAGTTAATGAGTTCATTTCGTTGCAAAAACAATTCCAAAAACTATGGATAGTTGTTTTCCAAAATGCATTTTCCACATACTATGAAAAATTTTTTTCTTCACCAGAATAAGCTCTTACTTGTAATTCCATTGTCCACAAACTTTTGAAGGACCCTTCTGTAAAGGACAGACACCTGACATTGTGGAAAGAGCTGAGACCTTGGACAGGAAAATCCCAGTTTCAACCGCAGCACCGCTTAGGGCACATTATTTTATCTGAGATGACTCCCAACTGTAAAATAGGGGTCAAATTACCTTTCTCATTGAATATTGGGAAGATTAAAAGAGACAGTGGTTGCAAAGTGCCAAGCATATTTGGAACTCCAAAGTATTAGTTCTCTTCCCCATGATTATAAGACATTCAAAGACTTAATGATAGTTTTTTGCAGTTAATGCCATGAATAGCATCATTATGCTTGCTTCCTGAAGTGAAAAGCCACAATAACACTCCTCCCTGCTCCCAGTGCCCCTTTGATGTGGCAGGGGGATGGAAGGGATGTTATTTCCACTTGGTATGATCAAGTTGGGAAAGGTTGCCCAACTCCTACACACAGACAAGAGGAGTGAAGCTACCAGCTTACAGAGGCCTATGGATGACATTCACGGTGACCTTTGCATCTGGGGATACCAAATCCCTAACTTCCCCTCCTATTTATCCATTCTTTCAGTAAATCATACCTAATATAAACAGATTTTAACCATGTCTAAAAAATTGCAATATAAATATGAACCCAGTCTGTTCTAGCAGGAAAAGGAGAGGGGGTAGATCTTTTGCTGAATGTTTCTTTTCCCACAGGGATTTTGTAACATTTAATTTCTAGAGGATTTTATCCCTTCACCAACCATTTACTGAGCCAGACTCCCTGGGTTTCAATCCTCTACTTTGTGCCAGGCTGGACACATAACAGATATGGATAGGTTCTGCCTGGCAAGAATCTCACAAATACAAATAAACACAGAGCTACAATCCAGGGTGAAAAAACAATACACTGCAGAGGTAAGTCAGAGGGATGGTGTTGGCAAAAAGAAGGCTTAGAAGCCCCACCTTGTGCAGTGCTGGAAGTGGACCACACTCTCTAAACTCAGAATACATGTGCCTGTGACTGGAAGAAACTGTCCCCTGCTGTCCATTGTCTTTGCCTTGCCACATGGCTGCTTCCAGGGACCCTGAGAGCAAATTGTGGGCAGTGGGATCTGAGCATAGGTGATAACAGGAGTGTAACACCCAGGATCTTCCTATTAAGAGAAAGACACTCTCAACTCTTCACTTGTCTCTTTCATTCTAGTTAGAACCCAGATATGGTAGTAGTACTGAGCCATGTGGATGAGAGTAAGACCTTGGGGTGGCCAAGCAGCAAGAAAGCGTCTGAATCCATCCTTCATGACAACGTAAATCAGAGACACTATAGCAGCGAGGACATTTATATGGCCGAGAATTAAACCTCTGTCATCCATACACTTCTATGATCATCGGTCTCTGTTACAGGGAACAATATCTATATACCTATACTTCTGTCTAAAGTATAGGTTATTTATCTTGAAGACTCCTGGATATTTCTGCAAATCAATTGACAAATCTTGCAACTAGCAGCTATTCTGGAATGATGAATTCTAATCAGATGCCCAGTTCCACCCCTGCATGAGTTCTCAAATAGCTTGCATGTCACTCAGAGTTTGTAGTAGCCTGAAACCTGTTAGCCTCTGTGGAGCCTCTAGTGTTGCACATTTCCTAGATCCCAGCTTCTGCCCCTCTTCTTTCTCCAAGGAGGATCTGCTCAGCCTCAAGTCTAAACCCCAAAGCTATCTGAGATAGGATGGTTGGAGTAGCCATCTCCAAGGTCTCAGCTTTTCTTGTCTAGAGTTTGATGAAGATGTTATCTTCCAAATATATCACTGGTTTCCTGCCTCTGATCTGGTTCCTGAGTGTGCATCCTAGGTCATACCTTCAGGAGTAGGGGCTCTACTTTTTTTAACTTTTATTTAATAGATATAAATTTCCAAAGTACAGCTTTTGAATTATAGCGGCTTCTCCCCCCACCATAACCTCCCTCCCACCCACAACCATCCCATCTCTAGGGGCTCTATTAATTCATGGTTCCATCCACAGCTAGCACAGAAGGTACATGGCACAAAAACTCTTTAAATATTAAAAGGAATGGTTAAATTACCACTTAGCACACCTGTATCTATATCAGAGTGCCTGGTTCAAGTCTTGGCTACTCCACTTCCAATTAAGGTTTTGAAAAATTTGCACCAATAGTGATAGCAAATGATAGCTCATAAGTCCCTGTCACCAGTGTGGTGTGGGAGTCTCAGATTAAGTTCTACACTCCTGGATTCTTCCTGGCCCAGCCCTGGATATTGTGGAAAGTTGGGGACTTAACCAGCTAATGGGAAGTGTTCTCTCCATCCCTCTCTCCTTCACTCTCTCTTTCTCCATGTGTGTGTTTTTGTGCATGTGTGCACACACGCATGCATGTGTGTGCACACCCATGTGTCTGCCTTTCAAATAAAAAGAATGCAAATAAATACTTTTAAAAATAAATGTTAAAGAGCTTTAGTTGTGGCGTAGCAGGTAAAACTGCTGCATGCTCACCCAGCACTCCATATGGTTGCTGGTTCATGCCCCAGATCTTCCATTTCTGATCCAGCTCCCTGCTAATAGCGTAAAGAAAAGCAACAGAAGATGGATTCCCAGGCAGGGTATTTCTGGCTTCCTGTTACAATATCACACTTTCTTACATGGACTTT